CTAAGCCTCAGTTTTTTCATCTACAGAATGGGAAGACTAATAATATACCTACCCATAGGGTGGGTGCAGGGATTAAATTGGGTTGTTGAGGCCCAGACGGTGTAATTCCAGCACTTTGGGAGGCCAAGGTGGGCGGATCACCTGAGGTCAGGAGTTCAAGACCAGCCTGGCCAATGTGGTAAAACCCTGACTCTACTAAAAATACAAAAAATTAGCTGGGTATGGTGGTAGGCGCCTGTAATCCCAGCTACTCAGGAGTCTGAGGCAGGAGAATTGCTTGAACCCAGAAGGCAGAGGTTGCAGTGAGCCGAGATCGTGCCATTGCACTCCAGCCTGGGCAACAAGAGCGAAACTCTACCTCAAAAAAGAAAAAAAAATTGGGTTGTTGAGATAGCATGAGTAGAGTGCTCAGCACCATGCCTGGCATGTCACAGCCGTTGGTAAGCATGAGCTCTTAACTGTGTGATGAGGCTGTGGAGCCTCCAGGAGCTTGGAGCAGGGCAAGGAGCCATCTGGTAACAAGGTTCATCTGGCAGCATGCAGGTTGGGGAGCTGGAGACAGGAGGCCTTGTAGGAGGTGCATGCATCTGTGGGTTTGAAGTTGAGAGCCTGGCTGGGCTACTGAGGAAGAAAAGGAAATCCAGGAAGCAGATTTAAGCAGGACCTGGTGAGGCCAGCTGGAACTGGTGTTGGTTGCAGAAAAAAAGGCTCTTTGGGATGTGGGAGAGGGAGCTGTGAGTAGAGGCAAGGTTCGACATGGGACCTGTTGCGTGTAAGATGGCTGCAGGGCTCCAGAGGGGACTGTGTGTTGATGTGGAAGTGAAAAAGCCTACTCACTTAACTGCCCGGGCTCCTAATCATCCGGATCACTGACTCCTTTGAGAATCAGATGAAAGCGTCTGTCCAGAAAAATGTCCTCCCTCATAGATTCTGAGGTGTTTATAAGAGTTCTCAGACCCTGAGGCTCAGAACCCTAAACTGGCTTATTAAGGAGAGCCCCTTATTTTGCTCTTAGAGGGGATTCAGCACAAAAGAGGTCAAGACCGGGCCTCAGGAGCCCCTTCACTGTGTGGTTGAGAGCGGGGCGGGGTGTGTGTGTGTGTGTGCGCGCCCCCCCAGGAAGTGATGCAGAGAGGGGGCCTGCAGTTTCTGTCTCTCTCTCTCTCACACACACACACACACAACACACACAGACACAGCAGCTCTCCGTTGAATTTTTGAGCAGAAGGCATAAGAAGGGGTAGCCTCCGATTTCTATACGGCAGAAACTCAGGCAAAGTGATGACTTGTAAGAGGATTGACAAGGCAAAGAAGGTGGGAGAAAGGGAACTGGTTGAGTGTTCTGTGAGTAGAAGCTCAGTTCCTTACCTTGCCTTCTTTTCCCCCCCCCAAGGGATCCTCCCACCTTAGCCTCCTGAGTATCTATCCCTACCCCCGCCCCACCTTTTTTTTTTTTAACCTTCAAGGCTGGTATTTTGTATCAACAAGTACAATTTTGAAAGCAAGACCTTTCTGTTAGTGTCTTGGTGCTGCTTTGCAAACCAGGAACAACTTGGGCCTTGGCCCGATTGTGGACTGCAGTGATCTACTTGTCAGTGTCTCCATTCACCCTGGGTTTCTGAAATGCCTTCATCTGAGAACAGACATTTCAAAGGATGCCATTGCTGTTCCTTACATTTTTATTATTTCTTTAGGAGATCAAAAGTTAGATCGTCATTGTCATTAGAATCAGATGAAGGTGAGGAAAGGGACTTAGAAGATCCCAAAGACAGAGTATGAAATTTGATCTATACTGATGCATGTAAAACCTCACTTTCCTCAGACTGCAGCACTGAAAGCATCATGAGAGGGTGCCTCTCCAGTGCGAGGGGGTTGGGATGCTGTGGAGAACATGGTATGGCCCTGGGAATTGTGAGCGGAGATCTCTCCTAATGCCTGGGTCAGGAGGCACTGCTTGGAGGAGATGACACCTGCCTTATGGTGGAGTTAGCTCTAGAAAGGCACTCCAGACAGAAGGTGGGGACAGGGCTCATCTGAGGTTGAGAATGGTGCAAGGGAGGAGTGCAATGTGGGGAATGGGGAAAGAGTGTCCTGGGATGTCTGCAGAGGCCAGATCTCGCGGGGCCTTTTGTGCCATGGTCAAGAGTTTCGACTTAACCTTGAGGGTAGGATAGGAGGGTTTTATAGGAAGAAGAGAGTTTGGTGGGGAGATAGCTCTATCCTTACCTGTCAGGAGTAGGAGGTGGGTGCCGATGGTCTGGGCACACCTTCACAGGTTATGGGATCAGCATGTATCTGGAGGTAGGAGGTACTGAGCAAGTCTGGGCTGGTAAAACTCAGCTTTCTGGAATCAAGTAATGCAGTGGCATCCAGGAAAGTGCCTACAGAAAGTCCAGCCACCTAGTCTTGCTAACGCACCCTGCCCCATCTGGCTTTTGATCTCATTCATTTTTCAAATCCTCCAGGGTCCAGCAAGGGCTGCAGGGTCATCAATAAGGAAACCAAAGACAGACCTGCTCAAAGGCAGAAAACAGCTGAAATTCAGAACATCCTGACTGTCAGCCAGCCTTAGATACTGGGATTATAGGGGGATGAGAACCCTGGCCTCTTAAGGACATTGACATTTCACATTGTCACGTCCCCAAGCTAGCTGTGATCCTCCCTCTCCCCCTCCCTCCCTCTCTGTCTCACCATTTGGGCAACTGGAGCACTTGGTTTCTGTTCCAGTTACCATATGCTCGAGCCTGTGTACTCATAGCAGCAGCACTTGGAGAATAGTAAACACTCAGAGACAAACTTCATTTTATAGGAACAACTGCAAATGTGTGGTAAATCTATCTCCAAGTCCTTCTCAGGCCTCTCACCTTGGAGTAGGATAGATTAGTATGGTTAGCATATCTAAAAATGAAAGGTATGAAATTTCTAGAGAAATATCTCCCTGGAATCTCCTCACATTGGTGGAGAGTCCTGGATTATTGCATCTATGTTTCTTGAGCAAAGAGATCCTATGTGCTAATTTTCCTGGATGACTTAACTCCAACTTTCAGAGCCAAAGCTGTCATAGGAGGCACGGTGCCCAAGTGTGATCACTCCTTGGGGACATCAGGGTGAGCCGGTTTGACCAGGGCAGGTCTTTTACATAATGCACTAGACAGAAGTGCTTAAAAGGTTAAGTCATACTGAGCAAGCTTCCTCCCCCACCCTGGGGAAGCTTCTAGGCTAGGCCAAAGCTCACTGCCAGCAGGGCCTGGGGCCAGGACTCCGCCTAGGTCCTGACTGCAGATAGGATTAGGAAAAGGGTGAAAGGTCACAGAACATGCTAACAACCATTTGTAATATGTCCTCTTCACTCCCCTGATCCCCCACCTTTTCTCAATTCCGACCTTTCTCTTCTCTTTTTAGGAAACATCTTTACACAGCAGCCGAGTTACTACAATGACCTAGATGAAACCATGCCTACCATCCTTCAGGTACCAGCTCCTAGCCCTGCCCAGGGGAGGTTGAGCTTGGAGGACAGGCCACCTCCCTGACTTTCCTGGAAGAGCTGAGGAAATGTTTATTCCCTGACTCCCCCATTTCCCCAGACAGTCTCTTTGTCTTACCTCTGACTACACCTCTTTAAAATTTGCCCTTTTCCCTCTTGAACAAGACTGAAGTCTGAGGGTTGCTGGCTGGCGCTCATACAGAAAGAGTTTGGCTTGCATTTTGTGTTGCTTGCCAACAGCCATATGCTTCTAAGGCTATCCCTCTAAGAGACCAGTGTTTCTCAAAAAAGAACTTTAAAGTTTTACAAAATTATTTCACAAAATAATGTTCATTATAGAAAATTTGGAAAAGAAAGAGGAACATTACTGTTCCCCCATAATTCCACCACCAAGCGATATCCACTGTCCACGGTAAGTTTTGAAATCCTTACATGCTAGCCTCCTTAAAGATGGCACAGTCAGTTCAGTACCTACGATGGACTCTGTTTTCCTCTCACTGTTGATTTGTCTTATTTCAATGTAGTTTCTGTAAATAGGCATCTACAGGGGATTGTGTTATGCATTGCTAAAGGTATATCTTAAATGTTCATTATCATACTTGCCTGGCCTGTACAGTCAGATAATATCTACAGGATTCTGGGGGCTATTTTTTTTTTTATAAGACAGTTTCTTGCTCTATCACCGAGGCTAGAGTGCAGTGGCACAATCATAGCCTTGAACTAACTGCTGGGCTCAATTGATCCTCCCACCTCAGCCTCCCAAGTAGCTGGGATTACAGGTACATACCATCTTGCCCAGCTAATTTAAAATTTTTTGTAGAGATGGGGATCTCACTATGTTGCCCAGGCTAGTCTTGAACTTCTGGCCTCAAGTGATCCTCCATCCTTGGCCTCCCAAAGTTTGGGGATTATAGGAGTGAGCCACCACACCTGGCCCCAGGTTGTCTTTTTAATCCTCTTCACACTCTTACAAGAAGGATGCTCTCATCATCTCTGTCTTACATAGTTTTTAGTCTGACCCCACTCTTAAAGAAAGTCATTGTCTCAGCTTGTATCCTGGAACCATGGGTAAATATTCAGAAACTCCAAGGCAGGATTGGGAGGAAGTGGGGGTAAAAAAAGAAACTCCAAGGCAGTTTTCAGATCACCCGACCCTGGCTGCAGCCAGGGGTTCCAGCCCCGGTTCGGTATGATGTGGGAGAGCCCGTTCTTGTCTTTCACAGGTCTTCAGCAATATCCTCCAGCACTGTGGTTTGCAAGGGGATGGGGCCAGTAGCACACCCCAGAAGCTCGAGGAGAGGGGCCGGTTGACCCCCAACGACATGCCTCTCCTGGTAATGTTGCCCTTCAGTGCAGTCTCTTTCCTGCTGGGTCCCTACAACCAGGGCCTGTCTACCCGGAGGCTGGGAAGATTGCCCTAGTAGACAATCCAGTGGCCTCTTCCCTGCCCAGGGCCCCTTCCCCCAGTGCAGTGAGCAGCCATTTATTTCCCATCACACAGGTTTAGAACATTTCAGCTGGCTTGCGTTTCTCTCTGAGAGCTTCATTTACAAAGTAGTGGAAAGAACCAGGGAATAAGAATTCAGTGTCCTCATTTATTTCAGTTCGACATGCTCATTTGTATGTTATGCACTGAGCCAGTCATTCATTCAATGGACTTATATTGAGGAATCCCCAGCATGTGCCAGACCCTGTGCTAGGCCTGGAGGTAAAGCAGTAAACAAAAGCAGACTGGCCCCTGTGCTCATGGAATTTCGAGTCTAACAGGGATGACAAATGGAAGGCAGACATTCAGGAAGCCTCAGCATGTGCCACATGCTGCACTAAGCCCTGGAGATAGAACAGGAACAAGGCAGCTATGAGCTGCCTCCTGGAGAATGTGATCTTGTTTCAGAAGGGCATGTGGCAGGCACTGTGGGAACAAATCATTTTACCCCTCAGAACCTGTTTCCTTATCTGTAAAATAGAGATTCTCAACAGCTTCCCAGCCTACTTTTCAGAGTTGTCATGAGAACCAGGAGAGTATGTAAGAAACTTAGAAAGTGTTTTGTACACCCTCTTCAAGATGTGAAAAACCTTAAATATTAAGTACAAGAATATGTACTTAATATTCTTGTCCTGCCTCGGATGTTTCTTCTTTCTATAATGTCTTCAGATTTAAGAGTTGGTTTTCCTTTAGCTTAGGAGAAGAAATTGCATTATCTCAGAACTGGAAGTAACCCAGCAATCATTGGGTGTAAAGCCATTGGAGCTACCATAGCAAACTGAGACTTAGAGAGGTTAGGTGACTTACCCAGATCGTGCTTCTGAAGATGGACCAGCCAGGCTTTGTCTGGGACCTCCAGTGTTCTCTTCCTCCCGTGTAACATCCTGCCTGTTTGGGACTCCGATTGTGTTAATGTTGTCTCAGACGCTCTGCAGATCTGTATGTGTGGGCAGAGGAGAATAACGCAGTGTATTCTTTTGGCAACAGGAATTAAAGGACATTATTCTCTACCTTTGTGATACCTGCACCACACTCTGGGCCTTTCTGGATATCTTCCCTTTGGCTTGCCAGACCTTCCAGAAGCACGACTTTTGTTACAGGTATGGTGGTAGTTCTGGCTGTTGAAATAGAGGTTCTGGCTTATGTACTTATTTAACAAATACTTACTGGATGCTTAGAATGTGCTAGTCCCTCTTCCAGCCTGGGGATGCAGCAGTGAAAACAACAGATAAGCCTCCTACTTGTGTGGAGCCTGCATTTTAGAAGCACTTCCATTTTTGGCCAAGACCAGGATAGGGGAGGGGAAGAAAAACCAACACAACCAAGAATAGAGTAGTTTCAATTTAGTAGAGTAGCCCAGCGGGGAACATACACAAGGAAACAACAGGAGTGCTCCAACGTGGGGCTGGGAGATGACCCTTAAAGGATGTCTTGAAGGAACAGGTATCTTCCAGACAAAGAAAGGTTCCTATAGCAGGAAGGGCATCCTAGGCAGGTGAAGTGAAGCATCCAGAGGCCCAGAGTGTGGTTGGGAGAGAGCCGGGGAGTGAATTGTGACATGACGCAGAGGGTGGTGACACACAGGATGACAGGAAAACAAGCTAGTAACAGCCCACTTTGGGTAAGTTAGTAGAAGTCAGATCGTGAGGAGGCTGGGGTGTGCTGGCAGGTCCTGTATGCTGTAGGCAATGGGGAGCCTCTGGAGGCTTTTATCCAGAGGAGTCATAGAAAGATCCTGGTGGGATGGAGACAGATGTGGAAGAGAATATGAGCCAGGGAGGCAGACCCACTTTGCCCTCTTAGCACCAAGAGCATCTGTTGCTTATGCAGTAAGAAAGGGGCGGGCATGGGCATTCCCAGGCCAGGGTGAAAAGGCTGGCAACCTGCATATTGCTTGGCAGTTGTGGGCATGGGCCTCTTCCCAGTGGTCTCTGATCGTCACTCTAGCAAGGCATCTCTCCTCGCCATTTGTAGCAGCTTCTGGGAGCTGCCCAACTCTGTCCATTCAGCTGCCTGTCCATTCTGTCATTTACTAACCCATTCGAAACATTTATCTAGCACTTAAATGTGCCAGAGGTGGCAGCTGGTGCTGTGACCCCTCCCTGGTCGCCTCAGCTTATAAAAATCAGACATTAGGGTTGTTGAGCCTCCCAGAGAATGTTAGGATAATGTGCTGCCCAGCATTTTCCCCAGAAGAGAGAGGTATGTAGCTGTTCACTTTTTTAAAAAAAGGTATCTTTTCTCATGATAAAAGCAGCAGGTGCTTGTAGGACGTTTGGAAAATCCAGAAAAGCAGAAAATTAGGGATCATACTATTCTTAGAATTTTGTACCCTCCTTATTTTCGCTTATCATAGGCATTTTCCCATTTTGTTAAAGTGTTTCCCCAAATGTAGCACAGATTGCTTTTGAAAGGCTCTTTGGAGACAGGGGGAGGAGTAAGTTTTGGAAGGGCTGACTTTTCTGCAAGGGACAGCAGAGGCAGGGGAGAGGCTGTACCCATCTCTGGGTGAAGAGGAAGAAAGGGAAACACTTTGACTAAAGGCAACACTGCCTTTGACCCACAAACAGCCTGGGGCTGACCCAGCCTGTTCCAACTGTGCTGGAGGCCAGGAACACCCTGCTGAACAAATGCAGCCACCTCAGTTCCACGGAACTCTCTGAAAGTGTTTACTGTTGCCCGGTCAGCTCTGTTGATAATCTCTCTCAAAACAACCTTTTTCCTCCTTCCTCACCCATCTACTTAAGTATAGCTGAGTATATCTCTTTCTGCCCTTTAACTTTATGAATAAATAATACATTCACATGGTCCAAAACTCAAAAAGTATAAAATGCACACTGAAAAGTCTCCCTTTCCACTTCCCCATTTCTATTCTTCACATACAACTATCATCATTAGGTTTTTTTTGTGGAATTTTCCAGAGATATGCAAATATATATGCATATATGAGTAACTATGCACATTATATATCTCCCTTCTTTTAAAAAAGTTAAGGCTGCCATATTATGGGTATTTACTGCTTGCATTTTACTTTTTTACTTAACAGTGGTCCCATATCAGTGCATTAAGCACCCTTTCTCTAATGTCTTTGGTATGGCTGGGTAGAATTCCACTGTATGGAATACCAGATCCCATAGATGGTCCTTCAGATTTTTTCAGTTGTTTGCTATTACAAAAATATACTACAGAGGCCAGGCGTGGTGCCTTGCGCCTGTAATCCTAGCACCTTGGGAGGCCTAGGTAGGTGGATCACTTGAGGTCAAGAGTTCGAGAGCAACCTGGCCAACATGGTGAAACCCTGTCTCTACTAAAAATATGGAAATTAGCTGGGTGTGGTGGCACATGCCTGTAATTCCAGCTACTCGGGAGGCTGAGGTGGGAGAATTGCGTGAACCTAGGAGGCAGAGGTTGCAGGGAGCAGGAATTGTGCCACTGCCCTCCAGCCTGGATGACAGAGTGAAACTCTGTCTCAAAAAAACAAAAATTACAAAGAATAACTTTGCACACACATCATTTTGTACCTTGCAAGTATATCTGAGGAATCATTCCTAGAAGTAGACTAGCAGGGACAGATGGTATGTGCATTTTTAATATTCGTAGATCTTGCCAAATCGCCCTCCATAGGGGTTGTTCCAATTTACTCTCCCACCAGCAACTTATATTGGCAACAGCTGAACCTGTTTAGGCCAAACTGCCCTCTCTGTCGTTTTCTGGACTATGCTGTGGGCCTAGCAGGGCCCACCTTTTTTGGCATAGTTACTCTTTGTTACGTATAGCATTGCAGTAGGATGCCTTGCCAGAAACCAGCCAATTGACAGACACGTATTTACAGACTTGCTCCAAATTCAGCACTGACCTAGGCACTTAAGCTGTAGTTCCAACTTTGGGAAGCTTAAGATGTTTGGGGGAAGAATTATACCACAGAAAAGAGACAGCTGCAGTTTCACTTGCCAGGGCAGGTGTATTCCAAGTGCAGTGCATCTAGTTCTGGAAAGGAGGAATTCACATGAGTGAGCATGATCAGGAAGTGCACAGGGAGGAGGTGAGCCTGGAATGCTGCATGGAGGAGGGGGAGAATGAGAAAGAAGAGGAGAGCAGTGGCCAGCATTAGCCTGAGAGAAAGCCAGAGGGCTGCGGGAGTACTGATCTCTGGATGTTGAGTGGCTGTGCAGCTGGGATGGAGAGTTTGAATTTGAGTTGGGAAGGGGTGGTGTGAAATTGCCAAGGTGAAAAGCAAGATTGACTATACTGTGACTGGTATGGATGTACCAGAGAGAATAATTATGGTTTGCTGTCGTAGGAGGTAGGGAGCTGCCAGCAGTTGTTTCTTTTCTTTCTGTTAGTATAATTATATTTATTTGAAAATAATGTCATATAAATTATTTTTAGTTTTGTAATTTTCTTTTGTTTTTTTGAGACAGAGTCTCACTCTGTCATCCAGGCTAGGGGTACAGTGGCTCGGTTTCGGCTCACTGCAACCTCCACCTCCCAGATTCAAGCAATTCTCCTGCCTCAGCCTCCCCAGTAGCTGGGATTACAGGTGCCTGCCCCCACGTCCAGCTAATTTTCATATTTTTAGTAGAGACAGCGTTTCACCATGTTAACCACACTGGTCTCAAACTTCTGACCTCAAGTGATCCGCCCACCTTGGCCTCCCAAAGTGCTGGGATTGATTACAGGCATGAGCCACCATGCACAGCCTTAATTTTATAAAAGTTTTAAGCCAGGTACCTGTAATTTCAACTTCTTGGGAGGCTGAGGCAGAAGGATTGCTTAAGCCCAGGAGTTCAAAACCAGCCTGGGCAATATAACTAGACTTCATCTCAAAAAATTAATTAATTAATTAAAGAAACAGTGTTAACTATCTTAACCTATAAGCCAGTATAGAAAATATGACACATTTTTTTCTTAAATTTTTTAATTATTATTTTTTTATTTTAATATTTTTTTCTCATTTCCAGTGGGGTTGGAAAAAATCATGAGAACATTTAGCCTATTTTGACCAAATACAAATATTGTGTTGGTATTTTCATGTTAACACAATTTTTTTTTTTTTTTTTTTTTTGAGACAGTCTTACTCTGTTGCCCAGGCTGGAGTGCAGTGGTGTGATCTTGGCTCACCGCAACCTCCATCTCCCTGGCTTCAAACAATTCTCACACCTCAGCCTCCAATAGCTGGGATTACAGGCATGCGCCACATGCCTACTAAAAAATTTTCATATTTTTAGTAGACACAGGGTTTCACCATGTTGGCCAGGCTGGTCTTGAACTCCTGACCTAAAGTAATCCGCCCACCTCAGCCTCCCAAAGTGCTGGGATTACAGACATGAGCTATTGTACCCAGACAGAACAATTTTTTTTTTTTTTGAGGCAGGGTTTCACTCTGTCACCCAGGCTGGAATGCAGTGGTGTGATCACTGCTCACTGTAGCCTTGACACCTTGGGCTACTGCCTTGGCCTCCCAAGTCACTGGGACTGCAGGTGTGTGCCACCATGTCTGGCTAATTTTTGTATTTTTTGTAGAGATGGAGTTTCGCCAGCCTGTTTCCCAGGCTGATCTTGAGCTCCTGGCTCAAGCAGTCCTCTTCTGTCACCCCACAAAGTTCTGGGATTACAGGCATGAGCCACTTTGCCTGGCTAACAGTTTTTGAACAAGAAAATTACAAGCAAGTAATCTTGCATCTGCTTCTCAAACTTCAGTGGGTCCTGAGTGGCCTTCTGATTCCTCTCTTAGTATGAGCCTATCTGGGCCTTAGTTGCCTATCTGAATGAGGGACATGGCTATAGGTCACTTCCTAGGAGGCTGTTCCTGGGACCAGCCACAGTGGGTCAGTCTGGGGTTGGCTCAGGGAAGAACCAGGGGGTCCCTGGAGAAAATTGTGTAGAAAAAGAAATGGGTCTTCCCATTCCCTGGAGTTTGCTTTGCTGTTCTTACAAAGTGTGGTATTTATGAACTAATCCAGCATTTTCCGTGTGTGTGCCTCCACAGACTAGCTTCCTTCTACGAAGCAGCAATTCCTGAAATGGAGTCTGCAATTAAGAAGAGGAGGCTTGAAGATAGCAAGTGAGGCGGGGACAAAGTGAAGAATGTTGTTGTGGGAGAGAGGCCTGAGCACAGCCCTGCCTTCCCTAGGCATTAGCATCCCCATCTCTGAGAAAAGTGGGAGGAAGCAGGGACTGTGCAGCTTTGAGCTTCTGCATCCCTCCCTAGCCACTTCTTGGCCTCTGCATTTGTTTTTGTTGTTGTTTGAGACAGGGGACTCTGCATTTGTTTTTGTTGTTGTTTGAGACAGGGTCTCACTGTCTCACCCAGACTGGAGTGCAGCGGTGTAGTCACAGCTCACTGCAGCCCTGACCTCCTGACCTCCATCAGTCCTCCCACCTCAGTCTCTGAGTAGCTGAGATTACAGGCACGTGCCACCACACTTGGCTGATTTTTGTATTTTTTGTAGAGATGGGGTTTTGACGTGTTGGCCAGGCTGGTCTCAAACTGCATTTTTTAAAATCTCTTAACATTTAAAAAATAATAATAATATTTAGCAGCATTACCTACCTGAAAAGAAAAAGGAAAAGAAAATACAACCCCCCCAAAAAAAAAAAAATAATAATAATAATAATACATTCTCTGTGAAGAATTGTGTGAGGACCTAACAAGAAAGATTGCAACAACTAGAGTTAGGTGTTACTAAACAGCACAAAGGAGATTTGACCCAAAGTCCTGGTTGTACCAAGGCT